GGTGTTGGAGCAGGGGAAGTTGCATGGGAGGTGAGGGTCCCCAGGTCCCCAAAGTGGCACAGGCTGAGAAATTCCTCCCTCATAGAACGCCTAATAGAGGCAAAAAGGTCCTGAGGGTTAGGATTCCCGGCAGAGCGGAGTACGTTACCCATCTGGAGTCTAGGGTCATCCACAGCCACAGTGCTCTGGGTCAAGGAAGTGCCTGCACCTCCTGCCTGGAGGTTGGCATCCAGGAGCTGGATGGGTAAAGGCACGCCTAGGGTGAGCACGAAAGTTCTTCCTGCCAAAATGCTCATGCCAACATGGCCACCGCCAGTCTCTGCATCGGAGGCGAGACCTTCCTGATGCGATCGTTTCTGCGCCATCTTCTCCCCGCTCAATTCGGGGTCATCGCTGGTAGCCGCAGCAAGCCTATAGGTCATGCAGGCTCCAGGAAAATCCTTGGCCAGCTCCACAACAACGGGATCGTTCTCCACCTCAGACACGTTGCTGTCTTCCACTCTTCCAGGCATCTGCGTGCTCAGCAGTGCTCAGCGAAGAATAGAACAAGGGAAAGAAACAGGGGGAAATCTTGCAGTGTGCTGTTAAGTTGCTGCCTACAGACTCCCTCTAGAGGACACAAAAAGATATGAAGGATAAAAGAAATGGAAGAGGAAGAGTTATAGATCCACAAAGAAAGGTTAAAATAGTAAAATATGGAAAAAAGAATATGCTAGTAAAACTAGAAGTTGGAGGCAAAGCCGTCAACAGCCTCTCCCTGTACAGGCAGGAAAAGAACTGAGGTAAAAGGGGCGTTCCCAGTCCACACAGGAAGAGGAAGAAAGAATTAGATCCTGCCTCTCCCTGATAGGATAGTGGGAATCACCCAAGATGTCCTCCGCCTCAGAGGGAGAAAATCACTGAACAAGATGACAGGTTATTTGTGAGAGGACACCCCCCCCCCAGTGAATAGCAGCCAAACATGACTGTGAATAGTCTAGGACAGAAATATTGGAGAGGAAGTGGTTAACTCATTCTCCCTTCATGCTGCTTTCCATATCTAGGTTCCCCACCCCACCCTGACCTACTAAATGGGTACTTTAAAGACTAATAAAATATGTGGCAGGGTATGAGCTTTTGTGAGTCACTGCTCACTTCTTCAGATACATGAAGTATCTGAAGTATCTGAAGAAGTGAGCAGTGACTCATGAAAGCTCCTACCCTGCCACATATTTTGTTAGTATTTAAGGTGCTACTGGACTCCTGCTATTTTCTACTGATACAGACAGACTAACACGGCTACCCATCTTGATCTATAAATGGGTACTTGTATGCTTTCTTGTCACAGGACAAATAACAGCAGGGATGTGATTTGTATTAGGAAAACTGTAGGAGGAAGCAGCACTGGAGACCACAATGCCACAGCCCCAAATTGACTCTAATATTGATCTGCCTTATATAACAGCTGTAAGGATTACTGACAGAGTTTGTTATATAGATAGTACTTTGTAAAATATTAAAATGTAACAATACATAATTGGAATCAGTGTACAGAGCAAACAACACATCTGGTTCACAAAGTAAAAATAAATTAAGATAATGGTTATAGTTATTTTATATTCTAAAACAGAGAAGTCAAGAGATCTTTGGATACTTAAACCCAGTGACTGGATCTGTGAATGGGCAAGACAGATCTTTCTACAAGGCAAAAAGGGCGCGTTTTTTCAGAAAAATGTGAAATCTAAAAAAACAAACAAACACTGGACCGCTTAAAAAAACAGAAAATAATTAAAGAAGCGCCTGTAGCTTTAAAAAATGGATTCCCCCAGTGGGTGTTGCTAGGCAACCATAGTATTCCAAGCTTCATTCTGTCAATAAAACACAGGTGGAAGGGGCCAGGCCTGACAGGGGTTGCCAGCTCCAGGTTGGAAAATTCCTAGAGATTTTGTGGTGGAGTCTGAGGACAGCAGGGTTTGGGAAGAGGTGAGGCCTCAGCAGGGTATAATGCCATAGAGTCCACCCTCCAAAACAGCCATTTTCTCCAGGGAGACAAATATCTGCTGTCTAGAGTTCAGTTGTTAATTCTGGGGGGTTTCCTGGTCCACCCTGGAGGTTGGCAACCCTAGGCTTGGTAGCACACTGTGTGACTTGATATCACCTGACTTGCATGACTCAGCTAAGTCTGGCTGCTTGCTACTGTTCAACAGTAGCCACCGTATGAAAGCCAGTGTGGTACAGCAGTTAGAGTTTCAGAGCAGGCTCTGTGAGACCCAGGTTCAGATCTCCATCTTGCTCTGGAAGCTGACTGGGTGATTTTGGACCAGTCACATACTTTCAGGCTAACCTACCTCACAAGACTGTGGTGCAGATAAAAAAGAGAGGATAAAGTAAGCTGCTTTGGTACCCACTGCGGAGAAAGACTGTAGTTTTCCTAGATAGAGGCTGTGGAGGAGGGGGGCAAAGACAGATGAACAAATAAAGGGTGGCTGTTCGGTGGGAAGGAGATAGGGTTGCCAACTCCAGATTGGGAAATTTCAGGACATTTGAGGGGTGGAGCCTGGAGAGGATGGGGTTTGAGGAGGAAGGGACATCAGACAGATATAATGCCAGATTCCACCCTACAAACCAGCCATTTCCTTCTCAAGAACTACCATTGTCAACCATCAGGTGAGGTCTGGAGATCAGGGATGGGCATAAACCTAAAAAAGGTGATTTGGTTCAATTTAGGGTTTGGAGCAGCCCCAAACTGAATCCCAAACTGAACCAAGCCAAACATGCCCCACCTGAACCAAACCAATCCAGGAAGTTTAGTTACCCATTTATCCCAGTTGTGGCTCACTGCAACTGAGAGAAAGAAGGCAGGGATCACCCTGGAAAGGACTTCCCTTTCTCCTGGCATGGCTCGCCGTGGCTGGGAGAAAGGGGGCAGAGATCACCCTGGAAGGGACTCCCTTCCACCTTTCTCCCAGCCAAGGTATGCCCTGGCCAGGAGAAAGGGGGGTGGGATTGCCTGGGAAGGTGCTTCTTATCTCCGTCTCTCCTAGCCACACAGCCAGGAGACAGGGAGATGGAATTGTCTTGGAAGGTGCTTCTCATCTCCCCCTCTCCTGGCCATGCAGATTTTGCTCATGGAAAAAAAATATTTCAAATACATGCATGCGTATATGTCCCCTATACTGACCTTTCGTTTACACACCATCTGCAGAATTCATTCTTAACTCCATCAGGGATGTTGATCTTCACGGTCAGGATTTTCAGATTCTCCCCTCTGTTAATAGCTAGAATCTGGATACAAATATCAAAGGTAACACACATATCAAAGGTAACAAGCAAAGCACCCAGAAAATCAAAAGTTAAGCCAGTCGACATCTTCAAAGTCATACCAGTTCTACCTTTTGTTGGTTGTAAAGGTATATATTAGTGCATAGTATAATTTGATGGGAGCACAGAAAATAATGGCAGTAGCAGTATGTTTGGCCAAACACAACTCTTGTTTTTCCTCTCCCTCTGAGTTTTGGCTTATTTTTTTTTTAATATAGAACGCCCAGTATTTAATTTTGGCATCTTACATATTTTAGTATTTTGGATACATGTATCTATCACACAAAATATTGCAGAAGGAGCCAAAATGAGTTCTTTAGCTGAAATGAAAATTACTTTTTTCTACTTTTTTGGCTGGGCAATCCATTTTTGTTGTTCTTTATTTCGCTGTCTGTCCCCCCCAATTTTTTAAAATGTATACAAATATACACTGACACAGCCTAGAGAACTGAGGAACTGACTAAAATCCTGCTTTTGTCATTGTCTGATAATGCCGCACAAGAGACTGATGGTAATTCAAAACTAACAAACAGTTTTATTTCAATTTTGAGGGGAAATGGTCCGGTAGATAAAATTTAAGACTTAGAAGGTGAACAGGCAACAGGAATGAGGTCACTTTGTGCAAATATAAATAATAGTTTGTCACAATCAAGTAGCTGTTTTGTTAAACAGACAGATCTTTCAAACTGTAGAGAGAGATCTCTTGGCAGTCCCTGCTTAAATAAACAAGCTTCTTTGTCTCAAAAATGTGAAGGCAGGAACATTCACACATTCCAATTTTCCTTCTTAACCACTTGATAGGTATCCCTCCCCCTTTACTAAGAGCTTTTCCCTCAGGGAAGGGCTACTCGTCCCACCTCCCTAATTCAGGATCCTCCTTGATCCTCTCAGTCTGCTTATGTTTCCTTCACTGTTCTCACTGCCCTCTCAACCATCATTCTTTTTTTTAACTTACATTTTTTATTTTCTTTAACAAATATAACATCAACAATTATTTCAAGATGATATACAGCAACAATAATTATTTCAAAGTGAGATCTCAGTTCAATACACTACCAATTAAACTTTTCTTAACTTCTTACATATAAGCAGGGGTCTTGTTGTAGAAAAAGAGCTGCCGGAGCTCATTAGCATAACTCATTAGCATAACTTATTTGCATATGCCACGCCCCCTGACATCACCGGAAGTGACAGAAGGCCACACCCCCTGACATCACCAGAAGTGTGTCAGAAGGCCCGGCTACTTACCCTCCTGCTTCATCCTCATTCCCAAACGGAATGAGGATCGAAGCAGAGGGTGGGGTAAAGAAGGGGGCGGGGCTTCACCACATGACCGCCCCGCCCCCTAGAGGTTCTCTTCCAGAGCTCCGTACCTGAGAGCTCCCCCCCGACTAGAGCCCTGCATATAAGACACACTTAATAAGCTTTAACATTGAGAAGAGGCATTTGACAGATATTCAATAAAATACAATGTCTAGATACTTTTTTGGAGTAGACCATTTCTTGTTCGGTGAATTTGCAACATAGTCTAGGAACGGGAATTATTTTTCTAAAAATTTAGAAGATTTTTGGGAGGTGTTAAAAGTCAACATTTGGGTTGCCAATTTATCTGAGATAGCTAAATCCCATAGTTTCATAAACCATTGGCTCAGAGTCGGTGATTTTTTAGATTTCCAGTTTTGAGCTATTAGGGTCTTTGCAGCAATAAGAAAAATTAAGAGGAGGTCTGTTTTGTTTCTTGAGTGTTTAAAAGTTGGCCAATGATTCAATAGACTAGTTTCTGGACTAAAAGGGATTTTGATATTCAAAATTTGTTTGGAATATCTCACTACCATTTTCCAAAACGGCACTACTATAGGGCAGTCCCACCAGCAGTGCCGGAATGTCCCAAGGTTTCCACAACCCTTCCAACAGTATGGGTTCAGTGTCGGGATTATATGTTTTAAACGTATTGGTGTTAGATAACATCTGGTATGTAGTTTAAAATTCTGTAATCTAATGTTTAGTGCAGGAGTTGTGAATAGGTGGTTGGACCAGATGTTTTGCCAATGTTCTTTGTCATGTGTTATTTCAGTCTTTGTGCCAGGCATTCTGTATTGTTGCTAATTGTTCCCATGAATATATATTTAATAGGTAGTATATCATTGAGATTAGGCCTCTAGCAGATTGTTTATTTTTGTATATAAAAGATTCAAAATTAGTAGTAGGGTGAGTCAACATATGTGTGATGTCTGGGTTGGTAACAAGATGTCTAACTTGATAATATTGCATTCAAGGAATTTTTAAATCAAATTTTGATTCCAACTGTGCTTTAGTAAGAAGTTGTGATTTATTGAAAAGATCTCCTAACCTAAAAAGTCCCTTTTCTTTCCATTGGAGGAAGGTGGAGTTAGATAGGCCTGGAGGGAACCATTCTTGCCTTTAAAAGACCATTATTGGAGAGGTCAGTGGGACCAAGAGGTATTTAAATTTATCCCAAATATCTAGGGTCAGTTTCAAAAATGGATTGTGGGGTTCTAATTTTCTATGTCTAGAAAAGGACCAAATTGTTTCAGAGTCCCTGAACATAAATTATTTTGTTCAATATTAACCCAGTCTTTAGTTGTGTGTGATTGAGCAAAAAAGGCAATCATTTTTAGTTGTGATGCCAAATAATATTTCTCTAAGTCTGGGAGACCCAGTTCGCCTTTGTTTGTTGGTTTGATCAGAGTGTTAAAATTAATTCTTGATTTTTTATTTCACCAGATAAATTTCAAAAAATTACTACGCCATTGCTTGAAAGCTTCCCTAGGTATTTTGATGGGTAACTTTTGAAAAAGGAAAAGGAATTTTGGGAAATTAAAAGTTTTTATTAAATCAATTTTCTCTAATAGGGAAAATTTATTTTTCCTCCAGGTTTCAAGCTTATTTTTAATTTCTGCAATTAAAGGGGTAAAGTTGGGAGTCATAGAGGTCTAATAATTTCAAAGGTAAGTATATACCTAAATACTTCAAAGACTTTTGCATCCATTTGAATGGAAATTTAGTGGAATAGGTTGTTCCGTTCAGAGTTTAAATGGATAGGGTATATCTCAGATTTTGAATAGTTGATCTTAAAGCCAGAGGCCTTACTATACTTTTCAATTTGAGTTAATAATGGGGGGAGAGATATTTCAGGGTTAGTGATGTAAAATACTGCGTCGTCTGCGAATAGGCTGAGTGTATATATTTTGTCTTGTATTGCAAATCCTGATATTTGACTGTCGTTACATATTGCGTGTGCGAGCTAGAAAGAGAGCAAAAAAGATAGGGGACAAGGGGCAACCTTGTCAGGTTCCTCTTGTTACGGGCAAATGGTCTGACCTATAATTATTTGTTACTATTTGTGCTATTGGATTATCATATATAGCTAAAAAAGAGTTCATGAAGAAAGGACCAAAGTCCATGTGGCAAAGAATAGATTGAAGAAATGGGATTTCTACGCAGTCAAACGCTTTTTCAGCATCAAGTGCCAAAATTAGAAAGTTAATTTTATGAGAATGACCAAACCATCATTCTTAACTGCAACTCTGAACTGATGTTCTCAGCTGTAGAATTCCAACTGAATTCCCTGTCACTCAAGGTCCTCAGAGTGGGTTAAAGCATTAACCATTTACTGACCATTACAGAAGCCTTAGCTAATCAGTTTAATTTGTTAAAGTTGAACTTGTGAGGGTTTTCTTTCTATCCACATTGCTCTGTGCCCTGGAAATCTCATGAAGAACTAAAGACATTTTGGATTCAGACATTTCCCATGTGAGGCAGAATCTCTGTACAACAAGCGATTGTTAACTAGAAGACAGAACACAAGTACATTTGAATCCCTGTTCCACAAAAGCAGTGAGTAAGACTAAGCTAACAAAAGCTAGGAAATATCATTTAAAAAAAAAATTGGCTACACGATTCATCAGGGGATGTATGAAGCTGCCCATGTACCAAGTCAGAGCAGTAGACCACTCTACATCCAGAAGACACAGAGAAGCAGAACTTCAGATCCTATATTTCTTTACAATGCACATTTAATAGACATTCTGACAAGTTTGACCACCACGCTGGCACATTTAATAAAGTTTAATCACTGGAAAACAGGACAGATTGCCTCACTATGGCTTGGTGACTGGTAGATCCAGAGCTCTGCATACTCTTCCCCTCTCACCACCATTTGCAAAGCTGCTTCTAATCAGGATTGCAAACTGTGGCTTAATACTAACTATGGTTATAAAAACACTGGCACAGGCATGATACTAACCATATCTAGGTCTTTCTTTGCCATCAAATCACAGCTGACTTATGGCGACCCCATAGGGTTTTCAAGGCAACAAATGTTCAGAGGTGGTTTGCCATTGCCTGCCTCTGTGTCATGCCCTGGGCTGGCTTGATGGTCTCCCATCCAAATACTAACCAGGGCCCAGCCTGCTTAATTTCCAAGACCTGATGAGATCCGCCTAGCCTGAGCTAATAGCTCTTTTAACACAATAAAAAACAGTTAAAAATAAAGAATAAAATCAGTAAAAGTTTCCTAGTAATGCCGCTCCTCCTGCCATATGATTTCTTACTGATCTAACTCAAAAGGTCACTGGAAAAAGCAGAATTTCAAACCCATCCAGAAGGCCTCCACAGAAGCAGCCATACAGAACTCCTGAGGGAGTAAGTTTCAAAACTGGGGGGCGGGGAACACTGCATCTGTACTTGGCTTGAGTACACAGTCTCCTTTTCACAGTTAATGGATAATTGAAATTTCAATTACCACATGCAACAAATATGAACTCTGCATTTTAATTGCCAGAACAGAGAAAACAGACAATTATTATGTATGCTGCTACCCACATGTTCCTGAAACTTCACAAATTAATTTATTTTTCAAACACTAGACATGCAGAAACCATTAAAAAGCTGTTAAACGTTGACATTCTAGTGTCGCTGCACATGTTGATGTATGCTATAGG